TCACCATGCCAACCCAATGGGAGTAGGTCACGCATGCGATGGCTGCTGTCCATTTTGGCACTTGCTGCGCTAAATAGAAGTCCTGCCGGGTGTGCCAGCCTTTTATGAGACGCTTACCAGACCGTCTATAAACATTTCTGGTTGGGGACTCGGATTGATTCTGGCTGTGATCGTCGTCCTGACTGCGACGTTAAAGAATTCCTGAAGAGATGGGGGCGCTCTATAAATTCCTCCTGATCAGCCAGATCAACCGGGTGTAAGGCTCGTTTTCGTACGAGGGTAAATAAGAGTGGGCTGGCTGGCTTGCTCGACTTTGACTTGGGCACAGGGGTGGGCCGAAATACACACGAAGACACTGTCTGCTCAATGATGCTTACCGGTATGTTGGATTGAGGGGAGGGAAGGTTCTAATTGGTGCTCAATTGGATACACAACCATACCCACCATACATACATCTGCAACATGGTCTTTTTGTATTCTTGATTAGTTGGTGGACAGACTGCTAACACCTCACAGACAGACTAGAGTAGGACTGTTGTAGACTACCATAGCCAGTTTTGTCTAGTGCTGTTGTAAGTGAACCAGTCAAAATACATTTAGACTATGTTGACAATCTGTTGTGAATATTGTAGTCATGCCACTTGATCGGTACAGTAGGGAACCTACCGGACACAACTATTTTTAGAAAATTAGGTGTCGGTCAGACACATGCTGTGGTAGGACTCCACTAGGGGTTCTAGTGCAGAGAATGTTTGCCTAATTCATGAATGGGTCAGACGTCGACGAGGAGAGAGTTGACGATGCTAGACTAACACATGCAAGGTCACGTAGGATCCCGCACGTGTTCCAAGCCCTACAACTGGAAGACGAAAGACGCATTTGTGCCCAACGCAGAGCCCGTGCTCTCGCAGCATCGAGAGAGGCAGCAAACGTTGCAGCTAGGGAACAGGCTGCAGCAGCAGCCAAGGCAACAACCATGTCTTCTGCAGCTGCATCCTCCACTGCATCTTCTGTTGTGTCCTCGTCTAGACCCCAATTGGGAAAGCCAACAGGGTCCGCGGGCACGTCCACTTCAGTAGGATCACGTCAGTCTACAAGTCAAATGGCGGGCTCGCAGTTAAGCCCGTTGACTCCTCGCGAAAGGGAGCTCAGGGAGCTCCAACAGGTCGAAAGGATCCGTGAAAGATTAGAGAGGGAACTGAAACAAGCTACCGACAGAGAGAGGGAAATCAAAAATAGAACAGCCAGGCTTGATACATTAGAGGCTGACAAAGCTAAATTAGGGGGCTTGGATGACTCAGGAATGAATGAGCCCATGAAAGTGTTGAGGAACAACATGCTGTCACTGCATGCGCACGTGGACAGCAGGTTGGACTTTATGCAGAGCACTCTAGACCAGATCCAGGACGCTTTGACAAGGCCAGGATTTAGGCCACCAGCACAATCGCCGTTGCCGTTATCGGCGATGTCAGGCCCCTTTCTAGTTCAAGCTGGTACACAACCAAATGGTACGTCTGCAGCAGGCACACAGACTGTTGCATCTTCTTCTTCTGGTCCAGCGGTGGGAGCTACACCACCGCAACAACTTGTTCAGCAATCTGGACAGCCGCAGGGTCAATGGTATCCTAAGACCCCAATGAAACCGCCTCTTGCCTTCTCAGGCGAGAGAAAGGACGAAGAACTCAACACATGGTTGAGGACTGTCCCGGTTTGGGTGAAGGCAAAGAGGACCTTGCCGGAGGATGAAGTGGTAACTGCTGCATCTTACCTCGAGGGTAAGGCAGCCAAATGGCTAGATGGTGTAGTTGTGAAGCCAGGGTACGGGCGACGCATGGCGGACTGGGCTAAGTCATTAACATTAGACCAGTTCATGGAAATGGTAGAAGCTCGATGGCATAATCCACAGGAGGCACAAAGAGCCACTGATGCGATTAGCAAACTGGACCAACGAAAGTTCAAGTCGGTCAAAGAGCTTACGACTATCGTTGAGAGCCTGATCCTCGTCCCTGGCATCAACTATAGTGACCAGTTCCTGTTAACAACTTTTGTTAGATGTCTTCCTGAGAATATCAGGAACTTACTGGCCAGCGAGGCACGCCTCGAGTACCATTCATTTGAGACATTGTCTAGGAAAGCCTTAGATTTGGAGGCCACACTAGGCAATGCTCAGCCCTCCCAGAATGACACAAAGAAGAAGAAGAGTCCTCAGGAGTGGAAGAAGAAGGGGGCTAAGTTGAGGATGGTTGAGTCCGATGGGACTCAAACAGAGATCGACGAGCTCTCTGACCTGATGGACTACTCAGAGTATGACGACGAGGAGACTGCTGAGGGTAGCACCCTCGCCGCAGTTGTAAAAGCTAAGGCACTTGGCCGAGGGAAGGGCCAACCAAAGAGTCAAGGGAAGGCCGCCTCCAATTAGACCAAAGTGGCTGATTGGGTTAAGGCAGGTCTTGATCAAGACGTGTGGCGTGACCGCCGGGTGCGTGGCGCTTGTATTAATTGTGGGGAATACAGACACTCGCAGTACAAGTGCCAAAACGCTAAGGTTACGCAAAAGATACCTCCAAAGGTAGGGGCATCTTATTCCCAGGCTTCTAGCTCGGGAAACGCGTGAGGCCAGTGGAAGTTTTAGCTGCTTCTACTCRAGATGAAGWGGGYSTGATACCCTCCCCACTTCATGAGAAGGCCCAAGCTAATGACTCTTTAGTCACCCCGCAGACTCATCWRGACCAAACTATGCTYTGTAYGTTAGATGTGTCTGATGCCTTAGAAGACTTGGAGAGTGAGTGGTCAAATAAGGACCCTCGCGAGTCTTGGGTGGCGCTAAGGAAAGGTCCTAGAGGGGAACATTTCGCGGTGGAAGTGGATGTAGGAGGCCGCAAATGTGGTGCCTTCATAGACATTGGATCCACGCGGAATTACATAAGCCGCGACTATTTGGAAAGGCTGCACCTACAGGACCGGGTACGGCACCTTAGTAGACCTGTAGCATCTACTTTGGCCAACAAGGAGCGCATGATAGTAACAGACTATATCAAGGACGTAGTCTGTACCTT